CTCTTCAGAGGGGCAGCGTGGGCTTGTTGGGCCGAATGGCCTGTTTCCACACAGTAGGGATTCTATGAAAAAGGCTGTTGCATAAGATAAAGGTGCACAGCATTATGGGTAATGTATTAGCATGGATAGGGGTTTGGTTAACATACAGAAAGTGAAGAGCGGGGATAAATGGGTATTTGGATCAGTGTTGCAAATGCAATTGCTTCCAATTTACACAGATATTTGGAATTGGGCACCAAGTGTAGTGTGTCAGAGTTCACACACAACACTAAGATGAGTGGTAGAGTGAAGTATACAGAGGCCATTGTACGTCTGCAGAGGGATATAGATAGGTTAGGCAAGGGTCTGGCAGGTGGAGTACAATGATGGTAACTGAGAAGGCATCCACTTTGGTAGGAACAACAGCAAACTGGACTATTATCTAAATGGTGAAAAAGCTGTGCAGAGGGACCTGGATGTCCTTGTCCTTGAGGGGCGCATCTTATAGAAACAAATGAAATTATGAAAGGAAGAGATAAGATAGAAGCAGGGAGGTTGTTTCCACTGGTGGGTGAAACTAGAACTAGGGGGCATAGCCTTAAAATAAAGGGGAGCAGATTTAGGACTGAATTGAGGAGGAACTTCTTCAGCCAAAGGGTTGTGAATCTGTGGAATTCCCTGCCCAGTGAAGCAGCTGAGGCTACCTTCTCGAATGTTTTTAAGGCAAAGATGGATTTTTGAACAGTAAAGGAATTAAGGGTTACGCTGAGCAGACAGGAAAGTGGAGCTGAGTCCGTGAAAAGATCAGCCATGACCTCACTGAATGGCGGAGCACGCTCAACGGGCCAGATGGTCCACACTTGCTCCTATTTCTTATGTTATGTTCCCAATTTCCAGCCCTCCCTTTACCTGTGAATATCCTCCCCCAATCAAATTCTGAAAGTTCTTCCCTTGTACCGTCAAAATTGGTCTACGTACAATTTAGAATTTTAACTTTTAGATCTGGTCTGTCCCTTTCCATAACTATTTTAAAACTAGGAGAATTATCATAGAATCCCTAGCAGGCCATTCAGCCCATCAAGTCCACATCAACCCTCCAAAAAGCCTCCTGCCCTATCCCCATAACCCTGCATTTCCCATGACTAATACACCTACCCTACACATCCCTGGACACTACCGGAAATTTAGCATGGCCAATCCACCTAACCTGCACATCTTTGGACTGTGGAAGGAAATCGGAGCACCCAGAGGAAACCCACGTAAACACAGAGAGAATGTGCAAACTCCACACAGACAGATGCCCGAGGATGGAATTGAACCCAGGTCCGTGGTGGTGTGAGACAGCAGTGCTAATCACCAAGCCACCGTGCCGTGGAACTGCTGGTCCCAAAGTGCTCCCCCACTGATACCTCAGTCACTTGCCCTGCCTTATTTCCCAAGAGAAGGTCAAGTTTTGCTTCTTCTCTCGTAGGTACATCCTACAAACTGAATCAGAAAATTTTCTTGTCCACTTAACACATTCTTTTCCATTCCAAGCCCTTAACACTATGACAGCCCAGACTATGTTTGGAAATGTAAAAACTCCAATTATTACAACCTTATTATTCTTACAGATAATTGAGATCTCTCTGTAAATTTGCTTCTCAATTTCCTGCAGACTTTTTTTGGGCAGGGGTGTCTATTGTATAATCCCAGTAAGGTGATCATCCCTTTCTTATTTCTCAGTTCCACCCAAATATGGATGTACACTGGATGTACTCACAGGAATATCCGTCCTAAGAACAGCTATAATTCATCCCGCATCAAAAACGCCACTCCCCTTCCTCTCTTGTCCCCTGCCCCCTGCATCCCCTGCTCCCCCCCGACCACCCCCAACCTATCCTTCCTGTAGTATCTATACCCTGGAACATTAAGCTGCCAGTCCAATGCATCCTTGAGCCACATTTCCGTAATAGCTATGATATCCCAATCACATGTTCCCAACCATGCCCTGAGTTCATCTGCCTTACAGGTCAGATCTCTTACACTGAAATAAATGCAGTGTAAACTTGTCAGTCCTACCTTATTTTCTGCCTTGACTGTTTGACTTCTCAATTGTACCAGCCTTGGACTGATCTCTTTTCTCATCATTTCTTTGGGTTTACCGCCACTCCCTTACAGGTTTAACGCCTCCCAAATAGCACTAGCAAATCTCTCCACCAGTATATTAGTCCCCTTCCAATTCAGATAAAATCTGTCCTTCTTTTGCAGGTCAATTCTACCCCAGAAGAGATTCCAATAATCCAAAAAATGTGAATCCTTCTCCCCAGCACCGACTTCTCAGCCGCGCATTCATCTGCTCTATCCTGCTATTCCTACTCTCACTAGCACGTGGCACCAGGAGTAATCCAGATATTACTACCCTTGACGACCCACATTTTAACCTCCTGCCTAATTTCCTATAATCTCTCATCAGGACCTTATCCTGTTCTCTTCCTATGTTGTTGGCACCAATGTACAATGACCTCCTACTGGCCATGCTCCCTTTTGAGAATATTGTGCACTCTCTCTGAGACATCCTTGACGCTGGCACCAGGGAGGCAAAGACACCATTCTGACATCTCACTGTCAGCGCAGAAACATTAGTCTGCACCCCTGCCTATGGAGTCTCTTATCACAATTGATCACTTGGCGTAGCCCTCATTACAACAGAGCTAGTCACAGTACAGTAACCTGCTGTCACTGCTACATTCCCCAACAGTCTATCACCTCCTGCATTGTCCAAAACAGCATACATGTTTGGGATGGGGATAGCTGCAGGAGACGCCTGCACTACCTGCCTACCCCTCCTACCTTTCCTACTAGTAATGCAGTTACCTGACTGTATCCATGGTTTTTCTACCTTCCAGAAACACCCACCCCCCAGCTACTGTAAATTTCTCATTGCCTCTAACTGCCACTCCAACTGATGCATGCGATCCGATATGGTTTTGCAACGAAACACACTTCCTGCAGACATAATCATCAGGGTCATTGAAATTCTCCCTAATCACCCACATTCAACAAGAAGAGCACATCACTCTACAAAAGGCCGTCTCTGAACCTTAAAAATCTACAGACCCAGAAAAGACAGTCTTACTGCTCTAAAAACACTACTGTAGAATAAATTAGTAGCTATGTTTTATATTTTAAGACTTTAAACAAGAGACACCTCTCAATAAGACATATTAAGAAACCCCCATTCTACTCATTAGAGTTTTTCAAATTAAAAAGGAATGATCACCTTGATGGGATTATACTACGGACGGAAATTGAAGAAGAAATATGAAGAGCGATCGCAGATATATATAAGAATAATGAGGTTTTAATAGTAAGTGATTTTAATTTTCCTAACATTGACTGGGACTACTATAGTATGAAAGGTCTGGATGATGAAGAATTGGTTAAATGAGTTCAAATAAATCTCTTGAACAATATAGAGCGTGTAGGGACATTCTAATTAGGGAGACGAGGAAGGCAAAGAGAGGATGTGAGGTAGCCTTGGTTAAAGATAATCCAAAGAAAGGTCAGTGGTTAGCACTGCTGCCTCACAGTGCCAGGGACCCGGGTTCGATTCCACTCTCGGGCAACTGTCTGTGTGGAGTTTGCACATTGTCCCCGTGTCTGTATGGGTTTCCTCTGGGTGCTCCAGTTTTCTCCCACAGTCCAAAGATGTGCCAGTTAGGTGGATTGGCCATGCCGGTAGTGTCCAGGGGTGTGTAAATTAGGTGGATTAGACATGGGGGTGAAGGGTTACAAGGAAAGGTAGGAGGATTAGTCTGGGTGGGATGCTTTTCGGAAGGGCGGTGTGGACTTGTTGGGCCAAATGGGCTGTTTCCACACAGTAGGGATCTTATGCTTCTATATTAAGAGCAAGAGAGAAACTAGAGAGAGTAAAGCCCCATAAAGATCAAAGAGGTTGTCTTTGTGTTGAATCTCAAGAGATGGGAGAAATATTAAATGAATATTTTGTGTCCGTTTTTACTGGGGAGAAAGAAATGGGGGCCAGAGAACTCAGGGAAATAAATGTTGATGTTTTGAAAATAGTTCACATTACAGAAGAGGAAGTGCTGAAAGTCTGAGAAAACATAAATGTGGATAATATTTCAGGACCTGATCTAGTGTATTCCAAGTCTTTGTGGGAGGAAGTCGCGGAGCCTCTTGCAGAAATATTTGCATCATGTATAAATACGAGTGAGGTGCCTGATGCTGCGCCATTGTTCAAGAAAGGATGTAAGGAGAAGCCTGGGAACTATAGAACTGTGAGCCTGATTTTAGTGGTGGGTAAGTTGTTGGAGATGATTCTGAAAGATAGGATTTATATACATTTGGAAAGGCATGGAATGAATAGGGATAGTCAGCATGGCTTTGTGAGAGGGTGTCTCACAAACTTGATTGAGTTTTTTTGAGGTCGTAACTAAGAAGATCGATGAGGGCAGAGTAGTAGACATCATTTATTTGGACTTTAGTAAAGCCTTTGATAAGGATCTGCATGGTAGACTAATTAGTAAACGTAGATCACATGGGATTCAGGGTGAGCTTGCCAATTGGATACAAAATTAGCTTAAAAGCAGGAGACAGTGTAATGGTGGAGGGTTGTTTTCAGACTGGAGGCCTGTTACCAGTGGTGCTCCACAGGGATCGGTGCTGGGCCCACTTTTTGTTTGTCATTTATATAAATGGTTGAGATGAGAATACAGAAGGCATAGTTAATAAGTTTGTGGGTGACACCAAAGTTGGTGGTATAGTGGACATTGAAGAAGCTTATCTAAAATTACAAAGTGATCTTGATTAACTAGGTCAGTAGGCTCAAGAGTGGCAGATAGCATTTAATTTGGAAAAATACAAGATGCTACATTTTGGCAAAATGAACAACAGCAGGACTTAAACAATTAAAAATAGGGCCTTGGGTAGTAGAACGGAATATAGAGATTATAGAACGGAAATACCTAGATATATATCACATACAGTTGGATAGTTAAGAAGGTGTTTAGCACACTTACCTTTATTGCTCAGACCTCTGAGTATAGGAGTTAAGACATTATATTGAGGTTGTACAGAATGTTGGTGAGGCCTCTTCTGGAGTACCCTGTCCAGTTCTCGTCACCCTGTTATAGGAAGGATATTATTAAGCTGGAGAGGATTCAGAAGAGATAAACCAGGATGTTGCTGGGAATGGAAGGTTTGAGTTATAAGGAGAGGCTGGATAGGCTGTGACTTCTTTCACTAGAGCATAGAAAGTTGAGAGATGACCTTATAGAGGTTTATAAAATAATGAAAGGTATAAATAAGGAGAGTGACAGGTCTCCGGTCCCTAGATTTCAAGACTATGATGGATATTTTTTAAGATGAAAGGAGAAAGATTTTAAAAAAGACATTAGGGAATTTTTTTTAAAAACACAGAGTGGTTGATGTGTGGAATGGATTTCCAAAGGAAGTGGTGGATGTGGATACAATTACAATGTTTAAAAAATGTTTAGACAAGTACATGAATAAGAAATGTTTGGAGGGATATGAGCCGAGCGCAGGCAAGTGGGACTAGTTTAGTTTGGGATCATGGTTAGCATGAAGGGTCTGTTTTCATGCTGTCTGACTCTAACTCTTGCTACCTCTGTAAATTCCTCCAGCCACTACAGCCCTCTCTTATCACAGTAATCTCATCCAGCCTCACAACTGTCCCTATTGTCATCATCTCTTCCAGCCTCACAACTGTCCCTATCACCGTCATCTCTTATAACCTCACAACCCTCCCTATCACTGTCATCTCATCCAGCGTCACCACACTCCCTATATATATAATTCTCCTCTAGCCTCACAACCCTCCCTAACTCTGTAGTCTCCACCAGCCTCAGAATCTTCACTATCTCTAATTTGCTCCAGCCTCACAAATCTCTGAGATATGTGCTTTCCTCTAATACTATCCTTTTGAGGATACCCCATTTTTATTTCTCCACTTGATTAAGGCATTTTCTGATTCCAGGATCCCGAGCTCCAGAATTTCCTCCTAAACCGCTCTGCCTCCACCTCACTTTTCTCCAGAAAATAAATGACTAATCATGTGCCATTTATTCTAATATCACCTTCTCTGACCTGGTTTCAAATGTGGTTTGTCATATTCCTATATTAAGTGTCTCAAAGGTTTACAGAACAAAAAAAAGGCTCTGTGGCCATCGGGTCTGTGCCAGTAAAGAAAACTACCATCTAACTAGTCTAATCCCATCTTCCAGCACTTGGGCTATAGACTTGTGTGTCTCGCATCTCAAGTGTGTACCTAAATACATCTTAAACATTTTCAGGATTTGTGTATCTATCACTCTTACAGACAGTGAGGTTTAGTGTAATTGTCACTGCATGATGACATCACACACAAGAACAGAACATCTGGATCTGTGCAAACCAGAGATCACCCACACACTGGGAAGGATGGCAAGGTCCCTGAGAGGGTGCAGTGAAGATTTACCAGGGTGGTTCAAGGAATGAGGGATATTAGTTGCATGGTTAGGGGTTTTTCACATTCTTCATTCATGCAACATGCGTGTTGCTGGTACACATTGAGAATATCCATTTACAACAGATGGACTCTCCTTCTCAACCTCTCCCTTTTGCGTGAGATGTGGCCACCTGCAGTTTAAGCCATTATCAGTCATCCCTCTCTAATGAGAGAGAGCAGCCCTATGGTTTGGTAGGACAATGGTGACTTTACCTTTCACACTGTGCCCCGGCGGTGGAGAGACGGTAGGTTGAAGGTGGTGGATGGGACACTAATCACAGTGGTTTGTCCTGTATGTTGTTCATTTTCTCTAATATTGTTGGGAGCTGACTGATGCAGGCAAGTGGAGAATGTTCCACATAATCCTGACGTGTGCCTTATAGATAGCAAGCAGACATTGGGGAATCAGGTGTTCCTCCAGCTCCACACTGTGTTATCTCTGACTCCAGCATCGGCAGTTCTTACTATCTCTTGGGGAATCAGGTGTTTGGAGAAACTGAGATTGTTCTCCATGTAGCAGAAGAAATTGAGGGGAGCTTTGATAGAGGTGTTTGCAAAAGTTACACATTAGGATGATAAACCTTACACTCATGAGCTGATCATAAAAGGATTACAGGACACATATTGAAGGTTTTTGGGGAATATCTACCCAGAGAATAAGGTGATTAAAGGAAGAATTTATGCAGCAAGTGGGAATGAGCTGGAACACAATACTCACACTCAATGCGAATATCCAGGTCCTGATGAACTGAATAATTCTGTCAGAGTTTGGTGTTACAATCATTGAGATTCCCACCTGCACATTTACTTGTAAAAGCCTGTAACACAAGTTGACAAAATCCATCACTGTCAGTCTAGGGTAGAAATTCACAACATCCCCTCGTCCTGGCCCAGGGTGACCGTGCATTCTCTCTGCTGCACAGTACTCCTTGTGGAGGTCAGCAGTCGATTCAGGGGAAATGTTTTGTGCGTTTCTATGAATTTCCACCTCGGACTTCAGTGACTGAACAGAGCACAGGCCTTTGACACATGATCTGAATTTTCCAAGAGTTAGTGAAATGCAGAGAGCAGGATTTGCTTTCTTTTCTGTTCTTCTGTGCTGCCATTCTCCCTCATCAATAAGGCATTGTGTGTTAAAGGTGAACGCATCTCGATGGACAAGTTGTCTCCATTCAGAACAATGGGCAGCAAGCTGTTCCCAGTCCTTCCAAACAATATGTTCTACAAAGATAGCAACTGCACATGTCCTGCTGTCCAGTGCTCCCAAGAAAGAGTTTCGAAGAATGAGGGAGGATCTCATAGAAAAGTCATAACAGTCAAGTCTGAGAGGGTTACAAACAGTTTACAGAGAGATATTGATAGGATAAGTGGGCAACAAGTTGGCAAATAGAGTATAATGTGGGAAAATGTGAAGTTATTCATTTCAGAACAGACAATAAAAGAACAGAGTACTATTTAAATGGTGAAAATCGTAGAAAGCTGTCACACAAAGAGTCTTGGGGGTAATTGTGTAGGAAACACAGAAAGCTAGCACACAGTTGCAACAGGTAATCAGGAAGGGCGAAGGAATGTTGTCCCTTCTTTCAAGGCGCTTGCAGTACAAGAATTTGGGGTATATGTCTTCAGGCAACTGCACAAAGCACTGGTGAGGCCACATCTGGACTAATGCGAGCAGTTTTGGTCCACTTATTTAAGGAAATATATGACGTCATTGAAGGTATTTCAAAGAAGGCTAAACAGGTTGGAAATCTACTAACTGGATTTTGGAAGAATGCAGGATGATCTCTTTGAAACATATAGAATTCTTAAGGGGTTTGACAGGATAAATGCTAAGATGGTGTTTCCCATCATGGGAGTCTCAGACCAGATTCTTGATCAGTTGGGGAATCAAGGGTTAGGTTGCAGAATCATCAATTTTAAAACAATCCAGACACAGGTAAGGGTTTCAGTAACAAATGAGCTGGGGTGAGGTGGAGAGAAGGAAAATTTGAGACATTGAAATTTCTGGTGTTTGTGATTGTGTAGATGGGTGATCAGTAGCTCATTCTGGGGTCGGATATGACAGCAATATTGTGACGAGTTTAGTTCAGCCTCAGACAGTTCCCAATGAGAACTTGTAATTTGTAATAGCAACTGAAGGTGATGGGTTTAACTGTCCCAATGTTTCACTGGAGGATGTTTCTGCTCATCCAGAACTGTAAGTGTGATTAGCAGTTTGATAATTGAGTGACAGTGGAGCAATGGAGAGGGATGGTGGTGAGGTAGAGCTGGGCATTATCAGAGTACATGTGAAAACAAACACGGTTCTTTTGGACAATGTCACCTCCTGGCAGTACGTAAGTGACAAACAGGAGGGGCCAAGGATAGATTCTTGATGGACACCAAACACATGGGCTTTGGAGGGGAAAAGCAGAGTGGAGATGGAGCAGGATTTTCCAATGACGGTGAGGTCAAATATTGGTTTTTAACTGAACGGTGAGAAGGACGTAACCAGAAAAGAGAGAAAGACAGAACAAGGAAGACTATCTGTGAATTGGCTTGGGGGAGTGACAACGAGGAGTAGGAGAAGAGATAGAGAGTTGGAATGTCTGTAGTATAGCAAGGATAGGGTAAAGGGTCAAGATGAACTCTGATAAGGCTTGACAAGAGACTGGAGAAAGATGTAAGTTGAGGACTGAAAACGAGGAGCAACATGAAAGACGGGCTAGTGGAATGTGAGGAAGCAGCGAGGCAGCTGATCGGATGGAGAAGACAGGGTAATGGACTGCATTTTGGAAGAAGCAAAACTTGTGTTCGTGATATTTTAAAAGGAGTGAACAAACCTGATGTGTTTAACTTTTATCCAGAATATTAAAATGCACAGCTGAAGTCCAGGTTCAAATCCCACCTCAGCAGACAGTAGAATTTGAATTCAATAAAAAATAACTGCAATTAATAACCAACTGATTGCCATGTAACCATTGCCAATGGCAGAAAAGAAATTCCTAATGACTTTCAGGAAAAGAAATCTGCTCACCTCATAGTGGCCCAGCAAGCCACTCAGTTGTATTAATCACTGTGAAATCTCAACAAACGAATGAAACTGGATGGACCATTTTGCATCTACCAAGACACTCGAAAATGCAACACAGAATCAGGCCTCTCAGCCCTGCGAAATTCTCCTCACTATCATCTAGGGGCTAGTGCCAAAATTTGGAGAGCTGTCTCACAAACTAGTCAAGCAACAGCCTGATACAGTCATGGGCATGGAATAATACCTTACAGACAATGACCCGCCAGCAGGACAGACCCAGCAGAGGTGCTGGCAGTGTTGTACAGACAGGAATGATTAGCCCTGGGAGTACTCAGCATTTACTCCAGATGCCTGGAAGTCTCATGGCTCCTGCTGATTAGCGCATACCATTCTCCCTTGGGTGAAGTATCAGTGCTCCTCCATGTTGAATAACACTGGGAGAAACCACTGAGGGTGTAAGTGGCGCCAAACGTATTCCAGGTACAGGATTTCAATGTCCACCATCAAGAGTAGCTCGACTCTACTGATCAAGCTGGTTGGGTCCCGAAGGGCAAAGCTGCTTGACTGAGTCTGCAGCAGGTGGTGAGGAAACCAACAACAGGGAAAAACACAGTTGATCTCATCGTCACAAATTTGCCAGCTGCAGATGCATCTGTCCATGACAGTATCAGTAAGAGCGACCACCACCCAGTCCTTGTGGAGACAAAGCCCCACTTTCACATTGAGAATACCCTCCACTGTGTTGTGTGGTACTATCACCGTGCTAAATCAGACAGACTTCAAACAGATGGAGGAACTCAAAACTGGGCATCTACGAGGTGCTGTGAGCCATCAACAGCAGTGGAATTGTACTCCAGCAATCTCATGGCCTGGCATATACGCCACTCAACCATCACCATATAGCCAAGGGATCAACCTTGTTTCAATGGATAGTACAGGATGGCATTGGCAGGAGCAGCACCAGGCATATCTAAAAATAAGGTGCCAATCTGATGAAGCTACCAAACAGGACTACCTGCATGCGAAACAGCATATGCCGCAAGAAACAGAGCTAAGTTATCCCACAACCAATAGATCAGATCTAAGCTCTGCAGTGTAGGTTAGGTGCATCATCTATGGGAAATGCAAGGTTACAAGTTTGGGTAGGGGGAGGGTCGGTGTGAACTTGTTGGACTGAATGGCCCATTCTACACTGTGGGGATTCTATGATTCTGCCATACCCAGTTGTGAATGGTGATGAACAATTAAACAACTCGCTGGAGAAAGCACTCCAAAAATCATCACACCTACGGAAGAGCCCAACCCATCCATGCAAAAGGTAAGACTACAGCAGTTCCAGTAATCTCCAGCCAGAAGTGCCAAGGAGATGATCCATCTTGGCCTTCTCCAGAGGCCCACAACAACACATATGCGAGTTTTCAGCCAATTCGATTCACTTCAAATAATATCAAGAAATGGACGAATAGTGCAAAGGCTGCGGACTTTGCAAACATTATGGTAATAGTAATGAGGACTTGTTCTCCAGAACTTGCCGCCCGTTAAGCCAAGCTATTTCAGTGCACTGGCACCTACTGACAACATGAAACATTGCCAAGGTATGTTCACCACAAAAACACAGGGCAAATCCAACTGTGACAATTTCCCCTCCATCAGTCTACTCTTGATCGTCAGTCAAGTGGTGGAAAGTCTCATCAACAGTGCTATCAAGCAGCACCTGCTCAGCAATAACCTGCTTAGTAACATCCAGTTTGGACTCCACAAGGACCTCTCAGCTGCTGACCTTGTTGCAGACTTGATTTACAACTTGACGAACAGCTGAATTGCAGAGGTGAGGTGAGAGTAACAGCCCAGTCCCACACCAAGACCACCTATTTCCACTTCAGTGACAGCATCTAACTCCACACTAGTCTCAGCTCATTTGCTGAGACTCATTCATTTCTATGTTACCTCTAGACATAACTATCCAAACACTCCAGGCCAGCCTCCCACATTCAACCTCCCTGTAATCTCAAAAATATCTAAAACTCTGTCCCCATGTGCTCACATGTACCAAAACTTGTTCACCCATCACCCCTGTGCTTCCTGCCTACAAAGGCTCCTACTTATAAGCAACATTTTAAAATTCACACCCTGGTTTAATTCCTGACTGTGATCATCCCTATCTACCTGCACCATTTGAGACCTCAACAATTCATTTAGTTTCAGACTCCAATGTGTTTATTCATTGCTTCAGCTGTTTCTACAGTTGCCAGGGAAACATGGTCTGGAATTCCCACCCTAAACCTCTCAAATCCACTTTCCTCCTTTAAGATATTCTAAAAACCCCCATATTTGGCAATGTTTTGTCCTCATGACCTAATATCTCCATCTGTGGACTCATGTCAAAAGTTCCTTGATTATGTTTTTGTAAAATTATAAATATGATTAAAATACAAATTGTCATTGATCTGGATACATATTGTCAACTCTTCACTATCGCTAGGTGAATAACGTGTAACTTCTCAGCTAACCGCATTGTGGGAGCACTTTCACCACACAAACTGCAGCTATGCAATAAGGTCAAACATCACGTTCTCCACAGGGAGCAGGGCTTTGGCAATGATTGCTGGTATCTGTGAAGGGAGAAACACAGTTAATGTTTCAGTGAGTGCAAAATGAATTACAGAGAATGAAAGTAGTGCAGAATTTGATAGCCAGAAACAGAATGGAAATGGGCTGTCTCACTGGAAAAAGAATTCCTGAAAGTGAAAGATATTGTGGAAAAATGAATCTGGTAAGAGACCAGCACATGGTCAGTGGGTCAGCAGCAGCAGAAGAAAATTCATTTACAAAAGTCTGTGAAAACAACAAGAAAATACTAAACAGGGCTAAATTATACCCATCATTAGAAACTGAGGAAGTTAATTAGTGACAAAGAGGTGAATCAGAGCAGTGTTAGCTGTTATCATCCCACAGTCTGGGTAGGACATCCAGAAGAAACAAACATTTTTCTAGGCTTGAATTTACTCCGTGTAAATCCTCCCCTATCACTCCTTGCCAAGGAAGGATGTGCATGTCTCGCTGCAGCTTGCCCCCTGCAAAGTTGGCGGCCGCGCATGTGTCCCGCGGACCATTGCCCCCAACAAAGATGGTGGCGGTCACTCGGGCCCGTCGCCATCCAAGGCGTTTTCCTGTTTGCTGCAAACACGGGACTGGGAGTTTCAAACGTGTGTTTTCCGACATGCACTAAGTTTTTGTAAAACCTTTCAGGCCATACTAATACCATTTCGCTCCCACTTTCTGCTGTTTATTTCTTTCTTTACCGTGTCCGGCACCTTCCACAGACGCCCAGGCCTTGATCATTAGCGATTACTGCGCTGCCCTCGTGTGCGATCACGTGGCTTGACTAGTCCAGCCCCTCATTCACTCCGATTGGTTGGAAGACCAGCCGCCGTGCCGAGCCGTCCGCAAGCCCCGCCCCTGTCCTACTATTGGTCCGGAGCTCACATCAATCACCCGGGTCCGTGCGCGAGCTGAAGTATGCGCGGTGCTTCTTGTATTTTGATGCTGTTCATCAGCTCCAGCAGTGAGCGTTCATTCTGAGGTGGGGAAGGAATATGTAATTCCTGTTTCTCCTGATGTACGACAATAACAACAACAACAACTATTTGCATTGTCTAGAACCTTTCACATTGTCAAATCTCGCTAAGGAGCTTTACAAATGATCGAAACCTTGATTAGAGAGAACGATTTTTAGATCTTAAAGAAGGATAGAGAGAGTTGGGGCGAAATTCCAGAGGCTTGTATCCTCAGCAGCTCCAATGGTGGAGTGATGTAGGTGGGGTGAGTCGGAAGGGGAACACAGAAAAGAGAAATGCAGCAGCACAGGGAGTACATAAGGTCTAAAAGACAGAGGAGTCTCCAGAATCTGTCTGTCACAGAGAGTTTGGCTGCCTCATGGAGTTTGAAGCATGGCACTGCAATAGGTCCGTGCAAGTCATGACTACAGCGCTACAGGAGATTTCTGCTGTCTTAAAAAAGTGACAGATTTTGTAAAAACCAAAAGAACTGCGGATGCTGTAAATCAGGAACAAAAACAAAGCTGCTGGAAAAGCTCAGCAGGTCTGGCAGCATCTGTGGAGGAGAAAACAGGAAGGGAGGAAACAGGAAGACAGGAAGGGTCGTTAACTCTGTTTTCTCCTCCACAGATGCTGCCAGACCTGCTGAGC